AAATTTGGATACAAAAAATTTGTAAAATTACGATTAATATAAAACTAGTAATTAATATATTTAATTGATTGTTTAAAAGTCAGCGTCGCATAATCGCGATGAATGAAGATTATAATCTCAATTTTCGATTTATTCGTTTATTAATTATTTATAATCTAACGTATTTGCGCTTGCTACTTTCAATTTACGAGCAGAATCAAACAGTTCAGTATCCTTTTTAGCCGTGACAAAATTATTAGACGCAATAGCAGAAACTATTATATCTGTTCCTCTAAAAAATTAATAAAGGAAATTCAACAAGCTAATATTTATTCTAGAATATCCAATTGTAATCTTGACTTATTTAAATTTGAGTACGCTTTGATAAAGGTCAATTACTTCAGTTATCCGGCCTTGAAGTTGATACAAATATGCTAATTGTGTATTAATTGTGCCTAATTCTTTTTCAATTTCTTCTTCACTATAATCATCATCAGTTAAATATTTCCGACATATATCTAGAAATTTTTATTCTAATATAATGATTAACCTAATATAAAATATGTGAATTTATCCTTGAGAAAAAGAAAAATTACTATACTTCTTGCGTTGATCAACTTTTTTAAAATCTTTTCTCCCGAGATATATACAAGCATAATAATAAGCCAATTCATAATAAGTATTGACAGAATCAGCCATTATATACTAAAAAAAAAAAAAAAAATTGATTTATTATAAAATATTTTAAATATTTCCTTTATAGTTACTAAATATTGTAATATAAATTACGCGTACCTTGTTATTTGGTTTATTTCCAGAAAACTGTAATGCAGCTTTAGCAACATTAATGTCATTGTACGTATCTTCTTTCTAAATAATTTTGAATTGAAATTTCTATATAAATAATTTTAAATAAGAAGATTGTAATATATTTCTAGAGAAGAATTATAATCTTCAAGTTTGTATGCCTTCAAAAATTATAAAATTAAAACAATAATTCTTTTTTTTAAAAAAAAAAAAAAAAAAACAAACCACTTGTGCTTCCAAATGTCTCAATCCATTATCATTATTTCCAGCAGTTCGGTATTTATGAAGAAGTTCTGCTCCTTCAGAAAATTTGTTCAACCTACAAAGACAGTAAGCTCGTTCAAGAGGGAATTGATTTTTCGAAAGACTTTTCGTAACAAAATTCAAAGCATTTTGATATTTCCCAAGTTTAATAAAGGTAATAACTTTGCATCAATGTCGTTTGAACTCAAATTTAGGACTATACAAAGGAAGCCTTAGATTCAACAGTTAACAATTTAGTAATAAAATTCGAAAGACAGAAAATTTAAATGTTTACTTTTATCGATAGACTTAAGAGCTTTGGCGTATTCGCCTTGATTTATTGTTCGTTCTGCATCGCCAAATAACTGCGTTAGAGTAGCTTCTTTGGACAAATTGTCTTGTGCTGACATATTAAATCTCGATTAACCCTTTCATAGCGAGCAGCGTTCAGGAAGAACAGTTCCTGGTTATACAAGATCACGTTTTTTAAGCCAATTAAAAACTATTACTCCAAGAGCGATAATTAATTTTTAGATCTAGAGATTATCAAAATCGTTTTCAACTTCGAATAGCAAAAAATTTACTTTTTTATAACAAAGGCTACTCTAAAAAATAATAATGAATTTTTTTTAAAAAAAACGATAATACTAACGCTAATACGCATTAACTATTACATGAATACTATTTTATTTAACCATTTTGAAAAATAAAGAATTAGTCAATTTTAAATCATTCTAAAAAATATAGCGATAGTATGTTTACTATGGTCTCTAAGTGTGCACGTCAGGGACAAATTCAAAATTGTGGTGCCAAAATTTAAATTCTGCGATATGATTTAACGAACATGTTATTCGTGCCATTCCGAACAACGTGACATGATTCATCATATAATGTACAGCACTATTACGTTCCATTCACGACATCCCAACTAGTGCCGCCACTTTTTTCATAGGGTTACGGTATGATTTCCTGAAAGTTACTTCCTTTTCATGAATTCAGTGTAAAGGAATTTCAAATGTTATTGCTGATATCAATTAATATGACGATTCTGTCATAATTAGTGATGGGCATGCGCGGGATTTTTAATATGATCCCTAATTCAGGCCAGCCGGCCCGCATTAACATGATTTTTAAGAAACCCATTTTGTCTCTCATCGAGGGGGTTTTGTCAAAAAACAAGAAAACGATAAAATATTATGAAACAACTATGAAATACAATTATGGGTATTCTGTCCCTTCCGCTTTTATACTATATATGCTAATAGTACAGAGATCGAGAGTATCGATCCAAACCATAACGGATCCTCTTCTAAATGCTATTTTTGATCTGCAGGGTGGGATGAAAAAAACCAGATAATTCGATCTGGAAAAAATCCTTACTCCCTGTTAATTACTATGTTACGTATACCAAAAAACATTTCTCTTTATGTTTGTCATTTCGAAAACTAAAATTTCCTCGTGATGCCTGTAGAATCTAGAACAAATACTAAGTTCGTTAGTATCTAAAAAATTTTTATCTCGTGACTGTCGTCCTGACAGGCCACCCCTACTTTGAACTAAGATAATTTTCCCTGTGACTGTCATCCCAACAGGCCACTCCTCAAAACTATTATTCTTTCTTCGTGACTGTCGTCCCAACAGGTCACTGAAACATAATTATAACTGACAGACTGGTCATAATCTAAAACACAACTAAAAAACAATGACTAAAGCAATACCTACTATCTCACCTAGCCCTACAAGCTAAGTCTTCAAAGCCACTGCTGACCTCCAACAAGGGTTGGGTAGGGCGGGACAAAAAAACCAGACAAAGTTGGGTTAGCAGAAAAAACAGAAACTAGTCTCTCTGAGAAAAAGCCTGTTCCACTTAAATACTACTAACAATTACTAATCAAAAAATTATGTCAAAGCCAAAGCCAAAATCATACGATAATTTAATAAATCAATTAATAAATCAATCAAGCATAAATCAACTTAATAACAATGGATCATATGATAACCCAATAACTCCATCAATAAATCAATCAAGCATAAATTACTTATAACAATGGATCATATGATTCAAGAATCTGTGACCGATTCGAGACAAAATGCTGCTCTGATACTTTCGTATCAGGCAGCTATTTTTGTCTCTCATCGAGAAGGTTTTGTCAAAAAACAAAAAAATGATAAAATATTATGAAACAACTATGAAATACAATTATAGATCTTCGAAGAGCATCACTATGAAAGCTCTGTTATCACATTTGGTAATTTTTCCAGCTAATTAAAACCCATTAATCTTGAAGCCCCTATCTCAGCCATACTAATAGCTCTTGTATACAGCTGTACTGCCCCTGATGTCCAACCACCAATTGACTGAATTTGTTCCATTGTCATTCCTCCTTTCATAGCTGCTATTGCGCCTCCAATTCTTAAACTGTGTGCAGTATATCTCCTCTGTAATCCTGCATTTCCTGCAAAATACTTAACTATAGCTGTAACGGCCGCTACTAATAATTTTCCTCCCATTCTCGACAGAAACAATGGTTTCTTTGCTGATGTACTTGGCCTCAACCCCAAGTATACTTTCAATAATTTTACCGAGCAGAAATTACTCACTGTTTTTTCTATCAGAAGAAACTTTCCCTTCTCTAGTTGATCTGTCTTGGACTTTGAAATCCTGATCCATTCCCTTCTATCCTTTTCCAAAACATCAGACACTTTTAAATTACACAACTCTATCAGTCTGCGTATTAACCTTAAACCTAAGGCTACCAGAGCTAAATCTGAGCTCAAATTTCCATATACACTCTCAGAGATAGATACTCCATATATTGTCTAACTACTCCAACTAGTAAAGGATCTCTTGGCCATTTGGCTTCAGCCTTCCTTGGTGCTACTACCCTCTTAATTCCTTCTACTATTAAATGAATTGAGCTCCCCTTCATTAGATCCATAAGGTTCCTTAATTTATGCTCTCTAGCTACTGCTGCCAAACAAGTTGGCATCTCTGATATTCTACCTGAAACTTCTAACCATACCAGAAAGGCTGCTAGTAGCTTTCTTGATGCTGGATAAGGTACAAAACCTGCTCAGTAAGCAAACTTCTCAAACACATCTCGTGCTTTTTCTAGCTACTTTCTATAAGCTTCACTAATCGAACTGTCCATTAGGTATTCAGCTCTTTCGAGCAATTTCTGGACCAATCCAGCAGCACTGCTCTCAGGTGCTACTGGTCATTTTTGCATGGCTCCAAGTTCCCAGAGGACCCCGGTAACACAATTTGCTTTGCTGGAGGAAGGTCAATCTCACTTCTGAGAGAGTTTACTATTATTGGCTACCATGGAGCTGAGACCCATACTGGAACTATTATTACTATCCATACTCCACATTCCTTCGTATAGCACAGTGCTCTGTGAATTTAGCTGAAAGGGGAGCACATATAATTCCTCACTCCAGCCCAATTCTAAGTGAAACAGTCTACAGCCTCTGATCCTAGGCAAAAAAACAGGCTGTTGAATCTCTATTTCTTCGAATTCAAGTGACTTGCAAATCTGTCTACTTCGAATTCTCTCCAGACTGACTCCAACTGGTCTACTACTTCTGAACTCAGCACCCAATCCCCTATATTGGGAACCCTTGTTAAGAAATCTGCTGGATTTAGCTCTGATGGCACCCACTGTGTGCTGAAAATCGACATGTCATTTTCCACGCAAACCTCCCAAATTTGTCTCATAATATCCTTTTGCTACTCTACTAGGCCTCCCTTTACTACTGTTCTTAAGTCTACTTTGTTGTCGATGAACAATGTAATCCATGTTCCTCTCAACATCTCCTTGAAGGATTAGAATGTCCTTAAAACTACCAACGCCTCCAACTGAGCAATGACCCTCGATGTATAAGGGTGCGACCAACTTCCTGAAGCTTTGTAGTCACGAAAAATTCCACACCACTCAGTTATCGAAGCATCTACATACACTAACCTTATTTGGGATAGTTTCTAAGCCAGCCAGCTATTTCACTTTTTCAAATTCTTTATCAGCTAATAAAAATCCTTAACTGCTTGTTCAAACAGCTGAATTCTGTCGTCCCACTTCCATATACATTGGTTCTGTGTGTTTATCAGTCTGTAGAATTTCATGCACTTCACCTGACTTAGAAGAAAAGCTCTTGACAAGCTTACTATCTTGACCGCTACTGATGCCAGGCTTCTTGCTGTAATTGCTGATGCCCCTAATAGAGCTTCTAAACTTGAAATTGTTGATACTATTTTATCCTCCAGTACTACTATACACCTATTTCGTGTGTTCATGATCATACCACAGAACTTTAATATTTGCATTGGACCTCAGCTCCCTTTCTCCTCGGCCCTGGCCCAACCACACCTTTCTAAATTGACTTTCACCACCTCCTTCCTTATCCTCAATAACTTTTCTTTTACTGGATAAGCCACCCACATATCGTTCAAATAGCATCTACAGTAAATCCCTTGAGCTCGTCACTTTCCAATTAGAGCACTCATCAATTTTGAAAAAACCCACAGGGCCTGGCTTAAACCGAAGGATAGGACCTGTAATGATACCAGTTCTTCTTTACTACAAAACCCAACAGCCTCTGCGCTTCGTCGTTCATCAGAACATAGTGGTAGTTGTCCTTGAGGTCAAATGAAATCAACTACTATCCCCACTTGATTGTTCTGAGGAAGCCCCCTAGCTCTTCGAATCAAAAAGTTTTTTGTAGTAGAGTCCGATTTAACCTCTTTAAGTCTACTACTAAACAAAATTTTCTGGGATCCTGCTTTGGAACCAGAAAAACCAGGCTCACTTCCAAAAGATTTATCAGACGAGAACCCCCTACTAAGACTTTTACGATTGCTCCCGATGTCTCCAAATGCACCAACTCCTTCTCCAGCTAATTTTCTTCTTCTTGCATGAATCAATAAAGCCTCAGATCCGGTTTGCCCATTAGTCGAATCAAGTTCTTTGAGAACAAAGGAATTTCTTCCTTCAGCCACACCAACACCAATTGAGATAGTTTTACAACACTCTCCCAATACCTTATCGCCTCTTGACTATGAATTCTCCCTACAACCTGGACCTCTATATACCTCTCCTTCTCCTCCAAAATCCTCTGAGTATTGTCAAGTGTCTTTTGATCGAGCTCTATCTCCTCAAAAGGGTAGACCAATATGTTTTCTAGAGCTACACTCATTGGCATAATGCTCCTTTCCTTCGCATATGTAACAGACCACTTCACTCCCTTTGAACTCCTTGCTTTTATCAAACCTCTTCAGCTATTGTGGTGCTGAACGATACCTCTGATGCTGTACTGGTAACGACACACCAGTTCCTGAACTCCAATGCTGCTACTGCTGCACGAATTGTGAGTTTGGTTAAAAAGTTTGTAAAGAGGGCACCATGAATCCTCCGAACTGATTTTGCAGCCCAAGTTGCCCCAGAAATTGCTGCTAAACATCCAGTTGCTGTACAAGGGGCTGAACTAGTGCAACCTGGACTGAAAACCCTTGCAAAACTGGAGCCTGCAGCTGAGGTTGGTCAAGTCGTGAATGGAAAGATGTTCTTGCTCTTTTAGCTTTTGGGAAATGATGTGTTGCCAATCTAGCACTTTTCTGTTTACTTCCCAACAACTCTGATATTGGGTTCAGAATATCACCAATAGCCATCTTCGAGGCAATGTCCCAACTATCCTCATCGGCTACTCTAACAACATAGGCCCTCTTCAAGGCCACCTGCCTTGCCAAACGCACATAGTTCAAATCCCCTGATACCAGGACCTTATCTAATAACACCTCTGCTTTACACCATTTATTATATTCTTATTGGTTACACTGCTTCGACAAATCATGCTTAGCTCACAAACCCCTATACTCTATATCACTTAGGTTCAGTAGTCCCAACTCTGCTCCACAGCTTCATTCCCATGCATAGCTTGGAGCAACAAATTGTCCTGAAATGGCTTGCTTACCATAAATATCTGATGAGTTTCCATCTATAATTGGCTGTTATCCCTTGTCCCCTGACAACTGAAATGCCCAAAGTCATCCAATAAATCGTCTCGACTCTCCATACGTTGTAGTAGCACCTCCCTCACCTTTGCAGTGCACTCACTTGTGAGTTCTTCCAGGCTCACTCGAGCTTTACTCTTCTCCTTTACTAACCTTGTGATATTTCCTGCTTTTGTCCCAGCTCCAATAGACCTATCCCTCGACAAACAAATCTCAAAGCCTCCACTAATAATCGCTGAAGGCTTGATTCCACACCTGCTGTGTTAGCATCACCTGATATGATGACTGGGTCTGATTTCTTATTCACGGATGACATTCCAACACACAATGAACCTTATTATTTGTTTAGCTTAAAAAACACATTTATTTACTATAAATGTTTTTCAGTAATTTAGGTGAAAGAAAATCCAGTAAAGAATTCATTAAATTAAGACCGATTAGGAAAATTAGATAACACAGATATAGTACGAAAATAAATGTTTTCTCTTCTTTTTTTTTTTTTTTTTTTTTAGTAATTTAGGTAAAAGAAAATCCAGCAAAGAGTTTATTAAATTAAGACTGATTAAGAAAATTAGGTAATACAGGTATAGTACGAAAAAACCAGACAAAGTCAGGTTAGCAGAAAAAACAGAAACTAGTCTCTCTGAGAAAAAGCCCGTTCTACTTAAATACTACCAACAATTACTAATCAAAAAATTATGTCAAAGCCAAAGCCAAAATCATACGATAACTTAATAAATCAATCAATAAATCAATCAAGCATAAATCAACTTAATAACAATGGATCGTATGATAACCCAATAACTCCATCAATAAATCAATCAAGCATAAATTACTTATAACAATGGATCATATGATTCAAGAACCCGTGACCGATTCGAGACAAAATGCTGCTCCGATACTTTCGTATCGGGCAGCTATTAAGGTAATCTCTATCCCGCGCATCACGCGCGTAAGTCGCATCCCGTATCACTAGTCATAATCTATTAATACAACAACCTCGATTTATGGCGCTTTGCAATAAAGTGTGACACTGTGATGACGGTAATTGGAAATTTCGGAGATATAGATTTTATATCAATTATATATTTCAATAAACAATTGTATATATTGTTTAAAATCTTTAAAATTTCGGAGAATCTGATTTTTTACAATTTCACATGACATCGTGATCTGCAGATGTCACTTTATTGCAAAGCGCCATTATGGAAATCGTCAAAAATTTTTAGGTGCTGAAACTTTCAAAGGTCGTTTTTAAAAAGGTGAGAACAGTGAGTGTATCACAGGAAATTCACATAATTTCCTAAATTTCCACCGTTTTTTAAACCTTGTGAAAGATTCTCACCAATTTCCTGGTAGCTACAGTTTCTGTAACCTATTTAGAAGCACTAATTCAAGTTGAACTTTTATATCCGAATTGCGAAATTTTCTACTTCCGCGTATAGTGAAGATGCATATTTAACTGCCTCAGTTCGGGATGAGGTGATTTTGTTATATCAAATTTTGTATCCCATTCAGCGTAATAAAATATATTGATAAACAAAAAGCTTATTATACGTCATTATATTTTTATTCATAAGTTATTTACAGTATTAA